AACGTCGGGCGAGGTTAGTACTTGGATGGGTGACCGCCTGGGAATACCTCGTGCTGTAGACTTTTTTCTTTTCTTTTCTTTTCTTTTCTTTCCTTTTCATTTCATTTCTTTTCTTCTTCTTCTTCTTTTCTTCTCTTTCTTTGTCTTCCTTGCTGCAAGGCTCAGTTCTTCTTCAGTGTTCGTCGCACAGAAAACAGGACAGTGCTGCGTAGATCTACGTTCTTTTTGATTATTCAGCGGCTTCAGTCTATCTTCAAAGGTGTTTTTTCTTTCTTCCCCGAACCCCTGACCCAGCATGCAATTGCGTATTTGCAGCCGCACGCAGGCAGACGCCTTAGATCCCTGATGGCAGCTATGGACTGTACCTGTGCGCCCAGCATGTATTTGTGTGTGTGTGTTATTGCGCGTGCGTGCGCGACACTGGGTGTTTTCAGTATAAGGGGAGTCGGCGAAAGGAAAAGAATGTCTACGGCCATACCACGTTGAAAATACCGGTTCTCGTCCGATCACCGAAGTCAAGCAACGTCGGGCGAGGTTAGTACTTGGATGGGTGACCGCCTGGGAATACCTCGTGCTGTAGACTTTTTTCTTTTCTTTTCTTTCCTTTTCATTTCATTTCTTTTCTTCTTCTTCTTTTCTTGTTCTTTTCTTCTCTTTCTTTGTCTTCCTTGCTGCAAGGCTCAGTTCTTCTTCAGTGTTCGTCGCACAGAAAACAGGACAGTGCTGCGTAGATCTACGTTCTTTTTGATTATTCAGCGGCTTCAGTCTATCTTCAAAGGTGTTTTTTTCTTTCTTCCCCGAACCCCTGACCCAGCATGCAATTGCGTATTTGCAGCCGCACGCAGGCAGACGCCCTAGATCCCTGATGGCAGCTATGGACTGTACCTGTGCGCCCAGCATGTATTTGTGTGTGTGTGTTATTGCGCGTGCGTGCGCGACACTGGGTGTTTTCAGTATAAGGGGAGTCGGCGAAAGGAAAAGAATGTCTACGGCCATACCACGTTGAAAATACCGGTTCTCGTCCGATCACCGAAGTCAAGCAACGTCGGGCGAGGTTAGTACTTGGATGGGTGACCGCCTGGGAATACCTCGTGCTGTAGACTTTTTTCTTTTCTTTTCTTTTCTTTTCTTTTCTTTTCTTTCCTTTTCATTTCATTTCTTTTCTTCTTCTTCTTCTTTTCTTCTCTTTCTTTGTCTTCCTTGCTGCAAGGCTCAGTTCTTCTTCAGTGTTCGTCGCACAGAAAACAGGACAGTGCTGCGTAGATCTACGTTCTTTTTGATTATTCAGCGGCTTCAGTCTATCTTCAAAGGTGTTTTTTTCTTTCTTCCCCGAACCCCTGACCCAGCATGCAATTGCGTATTTGCAGCCGCACGCAGGCAGACGCCCTAGATCCCTGATGGCAGCTATGGACTGCACCTGTGCGCCCAGCATGTATTTGTGTGTGTGTGTTATTGTGCGTGCGTGCGCGACACTGGGTGTTTTCAGTATAAGGGGAGTCGGCGAAAGGAAAAGAATGTCTACGGCCATACCACGTTGAAAATACCGGTTCTCGTCCGATCACCGAAGTCAAGCAACGTCGGGCGAGGTTAGTACTTGGATGGGTGACCGCCTGGGAATACCTCGTGCTGTAGACTTTTTTCTTTTCTTTTCTTTTCTTTTCTTTCCTTTTCATTTCATTTCTTTTCTTCTTCTTCTTCTTTTCTTCTCTTTCTTTGTCTTCCTTGCTGCAAGGCTCAGTTCTTCTTCAGTGTTCGTCGCACAGAAAACAGGACAGTGCTGCGTAGATCTACGTTCTTTTTGATTATTCAGCGGCTTCAGTCTATCTTCAAAGGTGTTTTTTTCTTTCTTCCCCGAACCCCTGACCCAGCATGCAATTGCGTATTTGCAGCCGCACGCAGGCAGACGCCTTAGATCCCTGATGGCAGCTATGGACTGTACCTGTGCGCCCAGCATGTATTTGTGTGTGTGTGTTATTGCGCGTGCGTGCGCGACACTGGGTGTTTTCAGTATAAGGGGAGTCGGCGAAAGGAAAAGAATGTCTACGGCCATACCACGTTGAAAATACCGGTTCTCGTCCGATCACCGAAGTCAAGCAACGTCGGGCGAGGTTAGTACTTGGATGGGTGACCGCCTGGGAATACCTCGTGCTGTAGACTTTTTTCTTTTCTTTTCTTTCCTTTTCATTTCATTTCTTTTCTTCTTCTTCTTTTCTTCTCTTTCTTTGTCTTCCTTGCTGCAAGGCTCAGTTCTTCTTCAGTGTTCGTCGCACAGAAAACAGGACAGTGCTGCGTAGATCTACGTTCTTTTTGATTATTCAGCGGCTTCAGTCTATCTTCAAAGGTGTTTTTTTCTCGTTCTTTTTGATTATTCAGCGGCTTCAGTCTATCTTCAAAGGTGTTTTTTTCTTTCTTCCCCGAACCCCTGACCCAGCATGCAATTGCGTATTTGCAGCCGCACGCAGGCAGACGCCCTAGATCCCTGATGGCAGCTATGGACTGTACCTGTGCGCCCAGCATGTATTTGTGTGTGTGTGTTATTGTGCGTGCGTGCGCGACACTGGGTGTTTTCAGTATAAGGGGAGTCGGCGAAAGGAAAAGAATGTCTACGGCCATACCACGTTGAAAATACCGGTTCTCGTCCGATCACCGAAGTCAAGCAACGTCGGGCGAGGTTAGTACTTGGATGGGTGACCGCCTGGGAATACCTCGTGCTGTAGACTTTTTTCTTTTCTTTTCTTTTCTTTCCTTTTCATTTCATTTCTTTTCTTCTTCTTCTTCTTTTCTTCTCTTTCTTTGTCTTCCTTGCTGCAAGGCTCAGTTCTTCTTCAGTGTTCGTCGCACAGAAAACAGGACAGTGCTGCGTAGATCTACGTTCTTTTTGATTATTCAGCGGCTTCAGTCTATCTTCAAAGGTGTTTTTTTCTTTCTTCCCCGAACCCCTGACCCAGCATGCAATTGCGTATTTGCAGCCGCACGCAGGCAGACGCCCTAGATCCCTGATGGCAGCTATGGACTGTACCTGTGCGCCCAGCATGTATTTGTGTGTGTGTGTTATTGCGCGTGCGTGCGCGACACTGGGTGTTTTCAGTATAAGGGGAGTCGGCGAAAGGAAAAGAATGTCTACGGCCATACCACGTTGAAAATACCGGTTCTCGTCCGATCACCGAAGTCAAGCAACGTCGGGCGAGGTTAGTACTTGGATGGGTGACCGCCTGGGAATACCTCGTGCTGTAGACTTTTTTCTTTTCTTTTCTTTTCTTTTCTTTCCTTTTCATTTCATTTCTTTTCTTCTTCTTCTTCTTTTCTTCTCTTTCTTTGTCTTCCTTGCTGCAAGGCTCAGTTCTTCTTCAGTGTTCGTCGCACAGAAAACAGGACAGTGCTGCGTAGATCTACGTTCTTTTTGATTATTCAGCGGCTTCAGTCTATCTTCAAAGGTGTTTTTTTCTTTCTTCCCCGAACCCCTGACCCAGCATGCAATTGCGTATTTGCAGCCGCACGCAGGCAGACGCCCTAGATCCCTGATGGCAGCTATGGACTGTACCTGTGCGCCCAGCATGTATTTGTGTGTGTGTGTGTTATTGTGCGTGCGTGCGCGACACTGGGTGTTTTCAGTATAAGGGGAGTCGGCGAAAGGAAAAGAATGTCTACGGCCATACCACGTTGAAAATACCGGTTCTCGTCCGATCACCGAAGTCAAGCAACGTCGGGCGAGGTTAGTACTTGGATGGGTGACCGCCTGGGAATACCTCGTGCTGTAGACTTTTTTCTTTTCTTTTCTTTTCTTTTCTTTCCTTTTCATTTCATTTCTTTTCTTCTTCTTCTTCTTCTTCTTCTTTTCTTCTCTTTCTTTGTCTTCCTTGCTGCAAGGCTCAGTTCTTCTTCAGTGTTCGTCGCACAGAAAACAGGACAGTGCTGCGTAGATCTACGTTCTTTTTGATTATTCAGCGGCTTCAGTCTATCTTCAAAGGTTGAAAATACCGGTTCTTGTCCGATCACCGAAGTCAAACGGGTGACCGCCTGGGAATACCTCGTGCTTTACACTTTTTTCTTTTCTTTTCTTTTCTTTCCTTTTCATTTCTTGTCCTCTTTCTTTGTCTTCCTTGCTGCAAGGCTCAGTTCTTCTTCAGTGTTCGTCGCACAGAAAACAGGACAGTGCTGCGTAGATCTACGTTCTTTTTGATCATTCAGCGGCTTCAGTCTATCTTTAAAGCTCTTTTTTTTCTTTCCCGACCCCCCCCCCCCTCGACCCAGCCGCATGCAAGTGCGTGTTTGCAGCCAAGACTCCCTAGATCCCTGATGGGAGCTAGGGACTGTACCGGTGCGCCTAGCGTGTATTTGTGTGCGTGCGTGAGTGTGTGTGTTATTGTGAACTTTGTGATAACTCGCGATACTTCATGGCAATAAGGGTCGCTGAACGTTAGAGCACTATCGTCAGCAAACTGCACTGAGAGGGACGACCTGGCAACGGCAGGCATATACCTGGTGTAGATGTTGAAAAGCACCTGGCCGAGAACGGAACCCTGTGAGGGAGGGAGGGAGGGAGGCCCGCGAGAGAGAGAGAGAGAGAGAGAGAGAGAGAGAGAGAGAGAGAGAGAGAGAGAGAGAGAGAGAGAGAGAGAGAGAGAGAGAGAGAGAGAGAGAGAAGAGAGAGAGAGAGAGAGAGAGAGAGAGAGAGAGAGAGAGAGAGAGAGAGAGAGAGAGAAGAGAGAGAGAGAGAGAGAGAGAGAGAGAGAGAGAGAGAGAGAGAAAGAGAGAGAGAGAGAGAGAGAGAAGAGAGAGAGAGAGAGAGAGAGAGAGAGAGAGAGAGAGAGAGAGAGAGAGAGAGAGAGAGAGAGAGAGAGAGAGAGAGAGAGAGGGGAGAGAGAGAGAGAGAGAGAGAGAGAGAAGAGAGAGAGAGAGAGAGAGAGAGAGAGAGAGAGAAGAGAGAGAGAGAGAGAGAGAGAGAGAGCTCCTCTCTCGCGCTCAGAGAGTCTGTATCCACAGCGGGCTGAGCAAACGTGCTGGTGATTTCAACTTCAGATAGATTATCATGGACAGGCGAGACCAGCGACCAGCAAGCAATGGCTGATGGTTGTTCAACAGTGTGTAGAGCTGAAAGCAAAAAATATACTTCGAAGCATATATATCAAGACTCGGAGATGAGTGTGAAGGTAGCCAGGCCACCAGTAAGGCGGATTCCCACACACTGTGCGCACAACATATAGATCATCATATGACAAAAGTAAACTCCTGATCAAACTACCTGCACCGTGTCAGAAGATTGTAGTAAACCTAGCTCAGTGGTAGGGTGCGGGGGCGATACGCGTAAGTACAAGTATGCTCAAACGGGAGTGAATAGCAAGGGCTCTTGAAAAGCCTGCTCGCCTCGGCAGAAGCAACAGGGCTGGAATCTCACAAGCGCGCATACTAGAAGTGTGGGCTAGACCCAGGACATGCAGATACTACACGCCGCTCTCATACACTGTGCAAGCTACACGTATAGTGTATAATTATACTCATCAGGCATGCCGGCATGTGTTTACTCATCAGGCATGCCGGCATGTGTTTACTCATCAGGCATGCCGGCATGTGTTTGATGCTGGCTAAGGAACACTTCGGACCGGCCATAGAATCACCAAATACTGTGTGTTTTTCTGATCTGCTCAACATCACCATGTCCAGTAGTCTTTATTACATGGCTGCTGCTGCTGCTGCTGTCTAAAAGGTATTACAGGGCCAGAGAGGGACAGGAGCAGGTGTGCTGCGAGGTGCCAATCACTGAGTAATATACCAGGCAACGGCGACTGTCACGAGGCTCACTGCTTGCTTGAAGGCCGTGCTTCACCGCGCTGCCAACCAGGCACAGCGAGTCGCTCGGCGAGTGAGTGGGTGGGCGGCGGTCTGGTCAGCATGTTTCGTTGCTGCGCGTGTCGACCTTCGCCAGTAAGCCCTCGATGACACGCAGCTTTGCTTTCGCGTGCTGCATTGCACACAGAACATAAGCCCCGGCGCAGTGCAGCAGCATGTTATAGTCACAACTGTACAGCACATTATAGTCAGTACTGTGATCGCATTAGGAACCTCCTCCCCCTCCCTCCCCCCCCCCCAATTATTGCACCAGCATGTTCATAACCACTAAAACACAATTGTATAGGCAGTTGTAACGTGGGAGTGTCAACTTTACTTTCACTACAGTCAGCCGGTCTGTGCAACGCCCAGCACGACACTGCATGGACCATAGCTATGGCCCTGTGCAGCATGTGAGCAGGGGCTATGCAGTATGTGAGCAGGGGCTATGCAGCATGTGAGCAGGGGCTATGCAGCATGTGAGCAGGGGCTATGTCACCGTGTCACCACTGGCTAAGAGAGTATCCCGGCAATACTGCCCCCGTGCACGGCAGCAGTGTGAATTGGCAGCACTAACAGCACTCGTTGAAGCGTCTCCGACCACCTACCTTGTACTCCTCGTAGTCATCGATGAATGCTCCTCGATCTTCCTTTCCAACTCGCCTGTTATCACAGGACACAAAGGCAAAACACGGGCACACTGACGGTACAGAGGAGGAAAGGCGGTAAGGCTGGTGGCACGGTGCATACAACAAGCACAGAGTTAACAAGGGACAGAGTTAACAAGGGACAGAGTCAACAAGGGACAGAGTCAACAAGGAGGAAAATGCCGAATGCTAGACCTCAGCAGCGTGTCGGCAGATTGTGTACTGCAAGACACATCGTTAGCGGTATCGTGCAAGCCAGTGTATAATATGACGGCCCAGCCATACCTGCCTGTGCGCTGGAAGAAGTCTTCCTCATACTGTTTCAGCTTCCGTTTCACGCGCTGCTTAGAGTCGGTAATTGCCTTGAACTGTTCCAGCAGCTCAATTCTGAGGTGTGCAAGCAAGAAGAAAAAGAAGAGAACCATTCGTTTTGCCAGCAAATAGAGCGCAATGGTTGCCATTGTGTATGCTTGCCAATAGTAATGAACTTGCCACAGTGACAACAGAGAGCCCAGTCGTGTCCTATCCAGCCCTGTTGTGTCCAATCCAGCCCTGTTGTGTCCTATCCAGCCCTGCTGTGTCCAATCCAGCCCTGCTGTGTCCTATCCAGCCCTGCTGTGTCCTATCCAGCCCTGCTGTGTCCAATCCAGCCATGCTGTGTCCAATCCAGCCCTGCTGTGTCCAATCAAGCCATGCTGTGTCCAATCCAGCCCTGCTGTGTCCAATCCAGCCCTGCTGTGTCCAATCCAGCCATGCTGTGTCCAATCCAGCCATGCTGTGTCCAATCCAGCCATGCTGTGTCCAATCCAGCCCTGCTGTGTCCAATCCAGCCATGCTGTGTCCAATCCAGCCCTGCTGTGTCCTATCCAGCCCTGCTGTGTCCCAGACAGCCCTGTTGTGTCCCAGACAGCCCTGTTGTATCCAATCCAGCCCTGCTGTGTCCAATCCAGCCCTGTTGTGTCCCAGACAGCCCTGCTGCGTCAGGCGAAATTACTGGTCAGTCGGCGTCACGCATTTTTCACAAAAATTTGCGTTTCACCTGCTGGGAGAGTATGCGTGTACTCGAGTCTCATCCTGAGCACGTTTTTTTCTTCTTTTTTTTCAGCTCCAGTATAGCTGTATTTTTCATTGCAAAGCCGTCCTCGATTGTTGTGTTCGTTGTTCAAACGAAGTGGACATTCAATCATGAAGGCAGAGGACATAGGAGCCTGATTGGAGTTTCTCGTGGCATAGGACGCCCACACAGAGACACTTTGGGATTTTCTGAATATAAAATACCGTACGCACGATGCTGAGATCAATTTGTGCGATATCAAATTGTTTGTGATCTACCACATCGAGCAGAACGGGATCCAAACACAAGCTTACCGACGGTTAGGCTGCCGACCTGACTGGACAAATGATCCCTGGCTTCACCAGACGCCAGACGTCGGACACCATGTCCTTTGCCGCGACGTCCATCAAAAAGAACTCCATCTTCGTCGTGAAAAGGCTTGAAATACTCAATATTCAACCGAGATTCGCGGTCTCACCCTTTCTCAGATCGAATCATTTTTTGTTGTAGCAGTTGCAGGGCAGATCCCCGCCACTACTTCAACAGAAGATGGCTCCAAAGCATGCCTGGAACAAGCCATATCGAGGTTGCAAGCCACCCCTCTCAGCACTTTTTTTGAAGAAATTCAAAATTTCAATGGTGGAAGATATACTATGAAGAGAATTTCAAAAAGTATATTTCGCGGAGCGATCGCTCAACCTACGTCATTCAAACTTTGCAGGATGGTTCAGACGTACATGCTAGGCATGGAACCACAGAAGATGATATCATAGCTGACACACAGAGTCACACACACAGCAGATTCGTGTGCACAGATACTAAATTAGTGGACGTCGTCATCTTCTTCCCGCTGATCTCAAATGTACGATGACGTGCTATTTCGCCTGACGGTGTCCAATCCAGCCCTGTTGTGTCCCAGACAGCCCTGCTGTGTCCAATCCAGCCCTGTTGTGTCCCAGACAGCCCTGCTGTGTCCTATCCAGCCCTGTTGCGTCCCAGACAGCCCTGTTGTGTCCCAGACAGCCCTGTTGTGTCCCAGACAGCCCTATTGTGTCCCAGACAGCCCTGTTGTGTCCCAGACAGCCCTGTTGTGTCCCAGACAGCCCTGCTGTGTCCAATCCAGCCCTGTTGTGTCCTATCCAGCCCTGCTGTGTCCAATCCAGCCCTGTTGTGTCCCAGACAGCCATGCTACACAGAGTGATGTGCCCTAGACAGTATGCTCCTTTAGTGTTGCATTCACGTCGTGCATTTCCGTTGTGGACAGTTCTGACTGACAGGACAGTTCTGAAACAGGACACCCTTCGGTGCCACAGTGCCACAGTGCCTGGGTAACAGAGGGTTACACTGCGATTTGAGAAGAGAATCTAACGAATATTCACACGTAATGCATTACTACTAGTGTTGAAACGAGCATATCTATAACAAACGAGCGTATCTATAACAAACGAGCGTATCTATAACAAACGAGCGATCAGTTCCACTAACGAGCAAGCTATCGAGCGAGCTAACGAGTTTCAATGATGTGGCAAATATGAATTTTTTGAATAATTTTTTTTCTAAGTTCGATTTTTTCAGCTGGTTCAAATTATCACCGCCGGCATTTGGGGTTGCTGCTGCTTCACTTCGGACTACTGTTTGGTGTCGAGATGTCTTTTCAGCGCCGTCGTCGAGTAGCCTTTGTAAGAATAGACCGTTTTGCAAAGATTGCAAGTAGCCCTGGTCTTCGCTGCATCGCGGGAGAAAACTTCCAAACGGCTGAGCATAACTATTTACTTTCACTCGAATGGAGAGGTGACCGAAGCATATCCTGCGACAGGTCAGCAGATGCGGAACAAGACATCAGTAGAGTCCACCGAAGCTGCAACGACAACTGAAACAACTCAAGTGTCGTGCAGGCATACAGTGACTGTAACTGCGAGTGATTTTCACTTTGCGCGGGACTGGACTCTCGATCGACCACGGAGTCGTAAAATATTTTACGACTCCCCGGTCGACATGTACTGTCATGTGTACGGAGTACGGTGTACGGTGTTCGTTAGTGCAAACGAGCTGGCCTCACAAACGAGCCGAGTTTCTGACGAGCGAGCTAACGAGAATCCGGTGAGATCGTTTCAACACTAATTACTACCATGCGCCCGATTGATATGCACTATGCACTACAATTCCCTGGAGCTGTTTGGTGCACACAGCGTACTTACCGGTTCAGTAATTTCAAGTCGCCCATCCAGCCGGACGAGATTGGCGCCTCGCTGATGGTGGATCCTTTACGCGTGGCACCTTCTCTTCCGCCTCCTAGCACGGATGTCTTGGCCAGTTTCTGCAATGCAACACAGAGGATAGTGATGATTAGTATCAACAGTACGGATATAGACCACAGTACAGATACTAGCACACATGCACTGAGCCACAGAGCATGATCCTGAAAGGCAGTTTGGGGCACAGCCCAACAAGCAGCATACGCCTGGGTAGAAACTGTACAAAACTCGATCTGCGGGCACAACTGTTTTGTATGGACTTCTAGCCAGGCGCCGTGTTGCCGATTGTTTGACTGCGCCCATCGTGCGCGCCGCAAACTGCCTTTCAGGATGCTATATGGGTCGGTGCACACATCCTGAGGCGCATGTACGCATCCTGTGGTGTGCATGTTAGCCACTAAGCAGATGCACACATCACAACACCTACTGTGATAGCGTGATTGAGCCGCTCAGTTCCTCACCGTCTTTCACGTACACGTGTGGATCTACACGCATGGTTCACACGGTGCCAGTACCCACGTAGAGTAGACCCTCTCAATTGCAGACACCCTCGGGACCAGACATACGTGGTGTCCTATTAGGAGAGGTGAGAGGTGAGAGATGGCTGATACTGATAGCAGGATTCACAACTAACTGTAAACCGTGACAATTTTTGCCATGGTCTAATTTCTGCGAAATTCGCGACCGCGTGGAAACCGCGAAATTTAGACAGCACGAAAAGGAGATCCATGAAAGGAGATCCATGAAAGGAGATCCATGAAAGGTTTAGCAAGAATGCCACAGTACTATATAGTAGCACATTCTGCAATCGCAAAATTAAAACCTCGCAAACCTGTCCGGATTCTGAAAACGCGAACTAAAAACGCCGCGAAAATTTCACGCTTTACAGTACTTGGAAAGAGAACAATGGGGACTAAAGAGAACAATGGGGACTAAAGAGAACAATCGGACTAAAGAGAGGCATTCTGAATGAGGAGTCTAGGTGTCCTTCATTGGCAACTGTGCACTAAAGGAGGATCTATCGTACATCAAGTGCTCAGCAACCTGCACATTCCCGTTCTTACGTCGGAGCGCAGGTGATCCGTAGCACTGGCCACCGGCAAAGATCGCGACAAGTTGTCTCTCTCCCCGCTTGCAACTGGCGAGGGAGACCGCTGGCCTGCACAGCAAGTTGCCAGAAATGCACAGTCAAGCACACCGTCAAACGAGCAATCAGACGCACGCAAACACACACACACACACACACACACACACACACACACACACGCAAACACACACACACACACACCATTGACCATTGGACGCCCATCGCCAGAGGCGATGATAGCGATGCTACAGCAGAAGCCATAGCAACTTGTGCTGGGATTGCACCATTCAACAGCTTGCAAGGCTGAAGAATTGACCACCACTATTCAGCCTAGTCTACACCACACAGCTTTGAAGTGGCTTTTTTCTGGCCAGTGAATCCCTACTTTTTGGTCTTTTTTTCTTCTTTTTTCCCGCACACACATCACACCACATACTCCGGCATGCACTGGCTGTTGGTAACCACCCAGGAGAATGAAAGAAAAGTCAGGAAGAGTCTGAGAAAGAGAAGAAAGACGTGTGTGACCATAATCGTCGGGAATCGAACCCGCAACCTATCGATTGGAAATCGCTGCACATACCACTGCACCATATGGGACACACACACACACACACACACACACACACATACACACACACACACACACACACACACACACATGCATGCGGTAGTCATGCACCGTACACTAGGGATGTAGTACTGGTGTATACAGTCATTGTAACAGTGCATTGCGGAACGCTCTTGGCCATATGCTGCTGGTGAGCTGGTTTTGCAGTCGTAGAACTTGAGAAGACACTATGGCTGGTTGTTTATTCTTTCCGTATGCTCGAGTCTGTTGGTGTCTTGCATGCATGCCTACAGCACACATTCCTACAACACACATGCCTAGCCTACAACACACATGCATGCAGCACAGTCTAGTCAGCATGGTAACTAAGGCCGTGACTGGTCGGTCGCATCCAGATCCACATCCACAGGATCCGCTCAATCTGCAGTGATCGATTGGTCGAATCCAGATCCAGATCCATCAGATTAGGATCCGAGTAACCCTGACCCCAGGAGCAGGGTTGACTGCATCCAACAGATTCACTTTTTCCAAACAAGATGTTTCAATGAAAAAACGGCATGTGTTTGGCAGGTAGTAATCATTCTCATTGGCATAATCATAGTACGCATACAGGTGAACAAGCGTTGCACCATGCAGACGAGTACGACGAGAATGAACCCTGGAGTAACTTTTTCCCCTTTTCCATTGGCGCTTTTCTATCTCAACAGGGTCACGGTAGGGGTGTGTTCCAAATGCGATCGATTAGTGTTGTAAAACGCCTCCATTTCATGCGGAAGGCAGCCCCCATCCTGGATGCTGCTGGACGCCTAACCGTCTATAAGGGCTTTGTAAGGCCCATACTTGAGTATGCCCCACTAGCCTGGCTTGGTGCTGCCCAGACCCACCTTGGGAAGTTGGACACAGCACAGCGCAAGGCCATGCAGATGATTGGACCCACCACCGTCCTCCAGAGTCTGCGGGCCAGACGGACGGTCGCAGGGCTGTCCTATCTCTACAAGGTAGTTAACTGCAAGGGCCCACCCCGTCTGACACGCATGCGCCCTCCCCCAAAACCACGGGCCGATACTGTTCGAACCCGCCAGCAGCATTATGCTCAGCGCCAGCACCGGGAACAGCTCTTAAACACCACCCCCGGCACCAGTCCTGATTACCTTCGACGTTCCTTCCCGTACTGTTTCCTTGAATTGTGGAACAGCCTCCCCGAGGACATCTTTCCCCGTCTGGCCAATCACTCTCCACTCACAGCTTTTAAAAAAGGTGTGAACAAACACATTTCAGACCAGCCATGGTCTTGGGACGTGCTTTGAAGCCCATCATGTTGTTCGTCTCACTGTTCTTTCCAGATTGCACCTCTCGGTTTGGGGATGTGCATTGAAGCACCCCATACTAACGGTCTATACTGTCCTCTCTTGGTCACCACTCTCCCTATTACCTATATTGTAATTACCATTCATGTATTGCGCTTCAGATTTTCTTCCGTTTTTGTCTCTTGGTGCGTTACCGGCATGGCGATACTGAGACCTAATGGTCAGTGGAGTGCCTGTAGCCTCACCAGCACTGCTACTATCTGTGACTGTGGCGACCACCATTCAATGTCTAGTCCTCCCCTAACCGTACCCCAACTCTCTCTCTCTCAGCGCTCTTTTTATCTGTCTTTTCTTACTCTTTTTTCTTTGTCAGCCTTCCTGGTGGTTATGTGCTTTTTCAAGTAAATAAAAAAAAATAAAAAAAAGGGATACAGTAGATCTAGGATCTGGATCTGGGTCCACATCCAACAATACGATCACAGCTTCAAACCCTCGGTTCATACTTCATTGTACGTATGGGAAACATGTCGCATCGCGAAAAAGTCGCCTGGAGCTCAACTCGATTGGCCCATCATGTGACCATCGCGCGATGTGCTTCCCGTACGTGAAATGAGCAATGAATCAGGCTTTACACTCACACGTGCACCGCGATAAGCCCCCCCCCCCCCCCCACACACACACACATGCACGGACGTGCACACACACACACACACACACACACACACACACACACACACACACACACACACACACACACGCGTGCACACACACACACAATGTACCACACACGCACGAACGCACGCACACACACACACATACACACGCACACAGGCACATGATGCAAGCACAATGCCAACAAAGAATAACACCGTATTCCGTGCCTCCCATACCGATGCGATCCGACATGATCCGACCACGGTTTGCAGTTGACCGAAACGCCTTTGCATGTGCATCAGAGTCAAACGTATCGCCGTCTTCTAGCATCGTGCCAGATAAGGACTGGATGGCGGTCGGTGGAGATTCAAAGGCATCCGGCTAAAAGCAGAAGATAAAGAATGCAGCATGATTGGCTGCTATCACCAGGTTTGAATGGACAAGTAGTGAACATGACAAAAGCTGTGTCGCAGCGGCAGAACCACTGGTACGATGAGAAGAAGCTGCACTGGCCGGAACGACTGGAGTGCCCCGGCACTAAGTTTAATATTCTCCTGCCAGTGACATCATTACAGTCCTATCACACTAGCATGTAATAGTTACAATGGTGCAGCATAGCGGGGGTGTTCTAGAATGCAAAGACTCTCTGGCACAAAGACACAGAGACTCTCTGGCACAAAGACACAAGAACTGGTAAGGAAAGATGTAATCATGACGCAGTTGGTGGGCGCAAAGACTGAAGACAGACAGACGCACACACAAACACACACACACGTGACACACACACACACACACACACACACACACACACACACACACACACACATATACACACACCACCACCACCACCACCAGTGATGTTATGTACATGGACTGGGTGTCAGTGGCCACTGCTGCAGCATGCATGAAGATAGAGAACTAACAGAACATGCTTTAAGCACCACGCCACTGGTCCGTATCTCTAAACTTACACTGATGTCCTTGCGTTCAATTTCCCGCTTCAACACCTTATAGTGTTCATAGACTGGTTTCAGAAGGCGGCGTTCTTCTCCTGTTTTCTAAAGTCCGTGACAGAGTGAAAAACAAAAAAAGAGCAGCGACAATCAAAACAATTAATGATCATGATGGAGCACATAAACCATCTGCAGCTGTACACTGTGACGAGTACAGTATCTACATCTAAATGCAGCAGATATCCACTCATCTTGTAACTACACAACTCATGTGGTGGCAGCTCCTTGAAAACATGGCGAGATGCGGATCACGTTCGTGCCCCGGACTAAACCCCATAGCAATGTTATAATATAGCCTTTGTGCCAGTGCCTACACCCTCCTTCCCTGCCCCCCTCCCTGCCATACATTCATACATATAGACAAGGTAAACACACAGGATCTTACCCACAGTACATACTACATACTAGCTGCAAGTAAGCACACAGGACTCTGACTAAAGAACACACCGTGACCAGTAAGCACACAGGACTCTGACTAAAGAACACACCGTGACCAGTGAACACACAGGACTCTCACTAACTAGAGAATGCTATGATACTGAGCAGCTCTTACCGGCCTGCCAAATGCAGATTCGTACTTCAGCAGCTGTTTCTGGACGGCGTGCTTTTCGTCCGTGAGCTCTCTCCCCGTCATTTCCTGAATGATCACAGCGACACGCAGCATATACACCAAGGCAAGGTTGATACTCACCATACCATAGACAACGGGTAAGGTTAACAACAACCATGTCAGTATAATCTACTAATTATTAACACAGGGAAAACTGACCAGCAAGTCCAGGTAGGTACAACATGCAATACCAGTACCAGTAGAGCGCTTGCGAGACGCAGACGCAATCAGCGCACCCATCTCCAGTGTGAACAAGCAGTGCAATGTAAGAAGCAACGGGACATTACCAGGCAGGCACGTTTTCAGCCCAGACTCGAGGGGAGACTACCCGAACCAGACAGTACATGTTGTACACAGAAAGCCGTCGTTGTATAGTGCACCCTGGCCTAACTAAACGTGAGCACAACGCGCAGAATTCCAATGTGGCTGGCCAAGGGCTTGTCACGGTGCACAAGGGGAAATTGCCAGGTCCTCTGGAGCACTCACAAAGATATCAGATGGCCTTCCGGCAGCTCTGCGGCTCATCAACACAGCTTTCCAGACCTCTTCGACGGCCGCCTCTGTGCCTGTACTCAGGCTGAAAGCGGGAGACTCGCGTGACACATTGGGTGCCGAGTTGTTGGTATCTCGGTCATTTGGCGGAGCTGGAGTGTGGGGGAAAAAGAGAGCCGACAGAATACATTTCGGCATGGCATGGTGAAGTACTGGGTTGGAAGTTTCGTCTGCGTCCGTACTTCAAACAAAGCAACAATTCTAGTGAAATTTTTCGTACAAATCCCTATCTAGTAGGGCGCACCTTTCCCATGTTAGTGGAGGTGTGCTAATTTGATTGGGATGTAAATTGATAAACAGAGTGTCACAGCTTCGTCGGACCAACACCATTCCCGGACTCGGGACCCAGGAGGCAAGTAGTGAAATTTCGCCTTACCTGCTTCTGGACTGGGACTTGAGATTGGTGTAGGACCGCGGTAGGAGTTTGCTGCCGATGCTGGTGGATCTTGCCTAGGCATTGCGTTGCTCGTGGACGGTCTCGTCTCGTTGAGAGTCGCTGTAAAGGGGGGGGGGGGGAGAGAGAGAGAGAACGGAGAATACATGTACATGACCACACGGCACACAACCAAGCAGAGGTTGTATATAGCACAACCAAGCAGAGGTTGTATATAGCACAACCAAGCAGAGGTTGTATATAGCACAACCAAGCAGAGGTTGTATAGCAGAACCTAGACAATACAGGAATGGGCCTACAAGTACATGTTATATATACGTACATGGATGGTTATACATATAACCATGGCAACAGTGCATCCGAAAACAATTCAATGCCCTCCGGTGTAGCAATCTCTAAGCATGTACACGTGGCTCAATGCAGGCATGTACACGTGGCTCAGTGCAGGCATGTACATGTGGCTCAATGCAGGCATGTACACGTGGCTCAGTGCAGGCATGTACATGTGGCTCAATGCAGGCATGTACACGTGGCTCAATGCAGGCATGCATACGATGATAGGAATAGGAAAACCCAACTGGCTGGTAAGCAAAGCTTCTAACCTTGTTCCGCTTGTTCTTTCTTCAGCCCTGCACACAGGCCATATATCAGACAATCATAAAGTCACACAGTCACACAGTCAGACAGTCAGAAAAATGGCACATCACGGTTTGTACAAGTAGACTAGTGCAGGTTTGATGAGAAACTATTTCAAAGTGCACATCGTCATGGTGATGGTGAGGAGTTGCTCCGCTACAGAAATGTCTGCTAGTGGTAGAGCCGGTGGTAGCCAAATGGTGTGAAATCCTCCAAGTTCAGCAAAAAAAAACGAGAGTAGTTGAGATCGGTCAAGTTAGGCGTGGACTGGAGAGGAGCCCGTGTGACTGCCAGTGTTCGGAAGTTCATTTGCCGGTGAACAGCAAAGAAGATCAGACAAGCTGCCCCGAGAGGAAGTTCTCTTTTTGCTCCATTCTCACCCCTTACTAGGCCAAGGAAAAAGCCTGCTTAACGTTGCTTGTCAGTGAGCTGGTGACTATAATACTGTGAGTACCCGGCAGTCTTGAGCAACACTTCTATGGAGCCCAACGGGGGCTGTACATGCAGGTAAGATCAGACAGAACTGTACATGCAGGTAACTGTACATGCAGGTAAGATCAGACAGAACTGTACATGCAGGTAACTGTACATGCAGGTAACTGTACATGCAGGTAAGATCAGACAGAACTGTACATGCAGGTAAGATCAGACAGAACTGGACATGCAGGTAAGATCAGACAGAACTGTACATGCAGGTAAGATCAGACAGAACTGTACATGCAGGTAAGATCAGACAGAACTGTACATGCAGGTAAGATCAGACAGAACGACCCACAAAGAGGAAACCTCGTGGGCTCAGATTTTCTGATACACTAGTAGTAGAAACTTGAAAGGCCAAAGGCAAAATCATTATGCTGCATACCTTGAAAAAAGCTCAAAGTGATGCTGGTCAATAGGAACGAAACTTGGTGATCATGATCAAACGAGCATAATGGTTATCCTAACCCAGGCTGCGACTCACCCTCTCCAGTCTGACTGCACTCTTTCCCAGAACATTTGAACAGTGCCAAAAACAACCATAGATATTGAAACATTTCGGCCATTGGCCCTCACCTGTGAATACATTTCTACCCATGATTCGTATGCCTGGGATAGAAAGCTGACAGCTAGCTACTGTACCTGGCTAACACCGTGTGGCATTTTTGAATGATGCCATCTAAAACCAGGTGCCCCTGAGCATTAGAAAGGTGAGGGAAAACAAAATAAACTTACCTTCAAGTCGCTTCTTGGCAGCTGCAAGACTAACGATGACGTTACGAATAGCCATGCGGTCCGGCTGGTGAGCCTAATAGATTCCAGCAACATCAATTAGCAAAGAATGACTGAACGTGTGCTCATCACAGCCAAGTGCAGGTCCCGCACGACATAATATGTTCATTAGGAACGCTGCCAACACTGTTATATCGCAACGGTGTTGGTAGCGTTCCTAAGAAAAGTACATCAACAGTTAGTCGGTTCCCCCCAACAACATACATACAGAGAGGAAGATAGTCAATGTCTTCATGGTCCTTTGAACAGTATGCTACGCCATACCAGTCAGTATTGCTGCCTCTCTCAGAGAGGTCACCGTGTGCCCAGTACATGTAGTAGCATTGGCTCACCTTTCGCTTGAACCTCTCAAAGAACAGCTTGTCATGGCGGTGAGCAACTTCCTTCAGTTCTAAAGATAGCATACAGCAAACACATGCACGTATGCACACACACATACACACACACACACACACACACACACACACACACACACACAGTTATATGGAGTCCAGTTCATTTTTCGAATCCACGCCACCATAAAAGAAAATGGGAAAACCCCGCTCTCAAAGCTGGTCGCATATACTCAAAGCGCAAATTGACCAGCGCATCAATTGTACCCGACTATATACTTGTACATAGCAGGCTATCAAAATGTTTAAAC